CTAACATTACTCATGTGGCGGCTATGACATTGCTTGTCAGTAAGATGAGTGGGCAGCCTTGACTGAGGCATCCTTGCAGCCCGCATACCAAGATAAGTGCTGACAAAGCCATTCACCAAACGGGAGCGCGCCGAAAGCATGCGGTCACGGAGGGCACCTTCACAGACGCGACACCAAAGCCCCCGAGGAAGTTCGAAAAAAAAAAAATGGCCCCAACCAACATGATATCGGCTGGAAATGTCTCATGTAAAAGAATGGAGAATTGATAGCGGGGATCGATAACCTTCTTGAAATGGGTCCTGCTAAATGTGAAGGGCTGGCGATGACGTACGCACTTCTCAAAGAACAAATTAGCTTCAATTACTTGCTGGTGGTAAATCATCGATATTATTACGGCGCCTGATAGCTTGTCTCCACGGGCGCTACAGTTTGGTCACGCGCTACGAAAATGACATTGGTAGCATTACAAAAAAAAGATCTATATTAAATTAAGAACTTGAAAAAATACACCAATCCAAGTGTGAGTGAAAAAAGAAGACCAATACCATTTTTTACATGTTTTTTTTTAAGAGCAGCCCGCAGACTCCTCAGGTGGTACTTGTGGGATCACAAGGAGATCCGATCGAAGTGAAATTATCCATCGGTATAAATGCAAGAGCCTTGGTGACCGCGCTGCAATTACATTTTTCATAAGACTGCAACGCATGTGTGTTTTTATAGCTTCCCCCGCCTTCATCCAGCACAAAAGCTCTTCAAGCTTTCATACTGGTGCCAGGTCAGGAGGCTGAGAAACAGGAGAGGCAGATTAGAAGCCCGAGGGAGGTGGGGGGACATCGGCCGGCACCAAGCGTTAACGCTCTGATTGGAAAATCACACAAACGCGCACACGATATCTGGGCTCGCTGTAAAGAGGTAGCTCGGAGCTATGACATCATTTCATTGGAGTGGAGGTCTCACAAAGGGTGTCATTACAATGTTTTCAGTGCCGCCCTGAGAGGAGGGAGCGAGGATATATGTCAGCAGACAAAACACACCAGTGTGTTGTTGCTATTCGCACTCGTCTCCGTGCTGAAGGCAGTCGGGGGGGGGGCAGCCCATGAGAGGAGATGGACTGGGTCTACTTTCCCCTTCCTCACTGACCTTTGCACTCCACCTGTCCAGATGCAGAAATGACCCCCTCGGCACGACAGCGAGCCGCGGGTCAAAGCGCAGCTGAAGCGATACCAACCACTGAGAAACTCGTTGGGAGCACATTTTCGCCTCTACGTGTTTTTAAACAAGCATATTGCTGGAAAAAGAGAAAGAAAGAAAATCCCTCAATAGACCGGGTCGCAAAACGGATCACGTTTAAAAACGCAAAACACATCACATTCAAAGGTGAAA